TGTATAAAAACAAATTCAATCACACGAGAACAAAGCTTTTGGGGGATTTTTCTTGATTTAATGTTTACATGTTTTATAATATATTTTGGTTCTGAACAGCTGCAAGCATGCACATAAAAAATATTGCTAGTGTGCACAAGATACACTCCTTTGGCGGCTTTATTTGAGATGTCATGACTTGCAGTGCTTAGTATGGAGGTGATGCAGCTCCAAAAATACTGCACCTTACAATCCCCAAACCCACTTATGTCAAAACATCCTCCTGATTTATAATGCAGGATTTCTGTAAAAGGGTTCATATTATGCCGGTCTTTATTTTCTATCATGTATATGTATATAACGTGCTGCAATGGTGACTGGTCATATTAAACATGGCCAAAGTCTAAAATAATGAGCTTAGAATATAGATGTAAGTATGTAAGCAATCCCAGGGGGGCAAAAGTTGAGGCTTTAAATTGCTCTATATGCTTTATTTCACAAAGTTTTTTCTATGCTTTGCTGTGTATGATGTCAAGGAAGAGGGGATGGGCTTAATATGATCAGACACACAGCTCTGACTGTAAACACAGAAGCTCCATCCACCTCTTATTTAAATCCTCTGTTTACAAGCAGCAGTAAGAAGAAAGTTGACTCAAATAAAGATGTGAAGAGTGTAACTGAAGACGATAACAAAAAGGTTATTTTTAAGGTTAAGTTTAAGAAAGCTACAGGACACTTTCGGTAGCTTTCAGAGACCTATTCCTGCCTCCAAGGACCCATTAAGTGGACACTGTTTTCAAAATTAATTATTGTATCAGTCTCCTAAATGGTACAAAAGCAACTACAGCCACTCCATCATTATAGGAAAAAATAGTCGGCAGTCTCTGAGCTTCAGAGACTAAATGGGCCGAAAATGATGACAGAAGTATAGTGAGGAAAACCCTGCAAACCAAGGGCACTGTGTCTTTCCTCATCTCTCTAAATGGAACATTTTTAGGTTTTAGGACATGGTCTGATAGTTTAACAATGGCACGGATAATATTAGACTTACAATCCGAATTTGATCCAGCCTAGATTAAGGCGAAGTTCAGTGTTAACATTACATTCATAACTTTGGGATTAAGGTTGTATTATGATAGTTCAGGGAAAGTGGAGAGAGCTAAGATTATATTTGGGGGCCAAGGAGTGGAGGCAGTCAGTGATTAGCATTTCACTCGCTCACTCAAACATTCACATCAGTGTCTGCTTGTGTTTTTGTGCCTATGTAACTATGTATGTGTGTGTTTGTGTGTGAGTGAGTGAGTGAGTGAGCTCAGTGTACCTTAGCCAGCATCCTGCGGTCTTCTCCTCTCTGTCCTGGTGTTACAGGACACCTCCTCCTTCTCTTCGTCCCAGCAGCAGATGGACAGACGCAGAGCGATATTATTCCTGGGAGTTTGGAGGGGCGTCTCTGTTTTTATAACCCAGAGAATCTTATTAAAAAGCTGCTCTCCTTCCGTCCTGAACTTGAGGTTAATTAGCTCACTTCCTAGTTGCCGACATGCACCGAGGCCTCTGAGTGGTCACAGTGGTTGTTATGGACGACTAGGCTTGTCTTATCTCTGGCTGCCTGTGGGGATTCTGCTGTGGAGCTGAGACTAAGAAGGTGGAAAACACATACACTGGCAGCACGTACAAATGTAATAGAGACAGACGAAAAGTCACCCACACAAGCACACTGACACAGTGAGCACAGACGTACACAGACTCACACGGGAGACTCCACCAACGCTCACACAATGTGTAACAAGTTTTTTGGTTTTGTTTTGTTTTTTTGTAAATGTGCTAAAGATGAAAAAAAAAGTGTTACCACTGGACATTCAGGAAATGGAGTGATTACATATTACTGCAGTTGCATCCAAGTGCAAACAATAATAATTCTGCCCACAGGTCTATGGATGCAGCCTAAGATTCATTTGACTTTTGAGGCAGAGGAAAAGTCAAACTAGATGGGTGTTGATCCAAACATGGCTATGGACATCTACATGCATGCAACCCTACTATGCATGTTTTTGCATAATAGTTCTATATGACTTCTCCTGTTATCCAGCCATGGCAGATTTTCTGTTAGGGTTACTTCAGAGATGTTCCTAAACTGCGGGTACCCCCACTGCCAAAAACGTCCTGTTATGTAGACACTGCTTTTAGATATAAACTGTACATGAAAGATTGCCTTAAACCTGCATTATTCCAAATGGCCAGCAGGTGGCGACTGCTCTTATTGCCGTGTTTGTGGAAATTACCCTACTGTTCAGTTGATCTGTGATCTCAGCTAACACTTTCCTGATGTGTTTATCAGCTCACTTGCTGGTTTAAATTCTTATTTAACGCAACGGGATGTTTATTTTGCAATTTATGGCCACACGTAAAGTTAAATAGACAACAGAGCAGGGTACGCTTTAGGGCGAGCAACACTTACTCAACTTGTGTTGCTCAAAACTGTAAATAGCGACAGCTATAATGATCAAGCTGTGGCTTCAAGGAAGGTTCAAAAACAAGTGGTTAATGTCACTGTGGATACGCC